GACATTGCCGGATTGCATGTTTCTGAGTCAGCTATTGAAGCTGATGCTGCCAAAAGGCGAGATATACCTCATTCCGTTTGATCAAGGTAGACATCTTCTCTGACCAATCGTCCTTACTGTTTGTTGTGATTTAGATATATTGGATAACACGCGTGCGGAAATGATATTCGCCGGATTCTTGGAAGTGGTGGTATGAGGTTATTGATGTGATGATTTATATAAATGTATGCGGTTATACTCTTTGTGTAGAGTGCTTTTTTTTACATTTGTGAAAAATATTGAGCCGCAGATATTTTTAAAGAAGTTTAAAAGCGTTGAATTTACTGTCACTATATACTGAACTAACAGTTTCGAGAAATTGCTGAAAAAGAAATTTTTAAAATGGGAAACGGTAGTCAGTGTATTTCTTATCCTCCTATGTTTCGATTTCAGAATTTTCAATAATTTGAAACTTCGTATTTAGGCAGTCATTATTAAGAGCCTTTAAGGAAGTATTTAGCTTTAAAAAATTACTTTGCAGTTGGTGTCATCATCTTTGTATGGGCTAACGTCATGATGCTGTGATGCTTTGATATGCCTTCCTTTAGGTTCGCGTGTGTGAAATTTAAAAGCATATTAGTGCTGACATAGGATCTGATTGATCATCTACAGGCCACAGAATATAACTGACATGATTAAAAAGGATCTGACAACAGATGGAATTAAGTTAAGGAAAAAGGAGGAAGAAGATACTAAGGGAAGAGGAAGGAAAAAGAATTAAGTGATTGAGAATGCTGGAAACGGAAAGATAGGAGGTATGCAGGAAGGGAAAGATAAACTGAATGATAGGATTTGATCACCTGTGATAACATGGGATCTTTTCTTCCTGTATAACGCTCTTTTCATATTTCTTTTTTCAGCTTTTCCCGTTATTAAATCCCTTCTTTGTCTCTTTTACATTCATTTCTCACTTATCTGTTTTCTTCATGCTTGTGTTTTTATTTTTACCTCGCTCAATTGTTTCTGCCTTTCCCAGATCAGTTATGGATTAAAGAAATTTGTGCATCTTCATCTGTCTCATGTTTATTACAGAAAATTGCGTTATGAGAACCGGTGTTCTAATATGCTAAGCAGAAGAAAGTTTGTCACATTTTGAATGTAGCTTAATTTAAATAATGCATTTTAAATAATGATGTAGCATTCGGTTACCTATAGTTATACATAGGTTACTTGATCGACAGAGCATCGGAATCTCGGTCGAGAGGTCCTGATTTGGAGTTCCGGTTGATTCACTCGCTTTTCGTGCCGCTGAGATATGTAAGTGAGTAGTGTTTGGTGGAAAGGAAGAAGGAGATTACATGCTCTAATAATCACGTAATAATAGATATACCCTTTATAAAAATAAAGTAACATGACGGACCTGTCCTGATTGATAACACAGAAACGGGGATTTGAGCAGCATCGTTAGTTGTATAAAAGAAGAGTGCCACAAATAGCGCTGAATTATGAAAGCGACAGGTAGACTGCGCAACTAACGGTTGCGGGCTTTCTCTTCCGTTAAAACGGGTAACCAGCTATAAAGCCATTCCAGCACATTTTACTGTCCTTGTCTGATGGAAGTCAGTTTTCAATCATGAATATGGTATTCGATTAAATGACAAGTTTTCTGTACTGATTTAGTTTCCATTTTGTACTCGGAAAGTAGAGGTATGCTATATTGGCATTTGCTTCTGCAGAATATAGTTGTGGAAAGTAGTTGGATTTTTTAGCGTTGAACTCATCGTACATTTCAGTGCCGTACCGAGAACCGACAAATGGCGACATATTCGTAGAATTCCATCGAATTTCGGGAATTGAAAGGGTTAGGCATGCGGATTGGCCCATTTGACAAACAAGGAATATGAAAAGAATAGACAGTTGTAGGTGAGATTGATGAAGACGCGATGGCGCCAGCAATAGTTGATTTGTGAATGAAATGATTGAATGAAATGCAT